TTTTTTTTTTAGTGTTCTGTCTGACGACAGGTCCATATGAACCGGATCCTTCCCTCCTTTTCTCGGACTGGGACCTGTTCATATACGTTCTTGGCAGATGATCCAGAAGTGGTTTGCCCTTGCCTTCTTCTGTGTGTGAATGGAGTAATTGTTGGGATGCCACGGAGGAAAACTCCGTGTTGCCTAGACCACGGCCTTGCCCAACACAAGTTATAAATCTGAGCACCGCCGGGAATCGAACCCGAGACCCCCAGGATTACAAGGCCAGCGTTCTGACCGCTACACCACCGTGGCTCACGTTGCAAAATGTTCAGTGTAATTTATTTTTGAACTGGCTGTACTAGATACGAATAATTTAGTATGTAGAACTAGAAACATGTGGAAGGAAATGTCAGATTTCGTTTTAAAAACCGCGACACTACTTCTAAAGACGACATTGAAGTTTACGTTCTATTTTTTTTTTTTTTTTTTTTTTTTGTTCTCAGTTCTGTAAGGCAACGTAACATTAATAAGATTAATATCACATGTATTTTAAGTGGCTTACACGTTATCGCATGTTTGTTGTATTTGAAACATCTTTGCTTACACAGAAAGAATTATCATTTGGCATACTTTAAAAAAAAAAAAAATTGGCTTGTGAGATTACCACGCGTGTAATATCCCCATTTAAACATTTGGACCAAAGGATTGATTTTCACGAAATGTTGTATGATCGTATGACTATATTTGCGCACGTGTCTAAGACGATAGCCAATTATTTTGTTATGAATTTACTTTACGTAAACATGATATTATCGGCACGTAATTTGTGACTAGAAGTCTGTACAGTAGGAAAATAGAAGTTTTGATTTTTACTTCTAACTATTTGAGTTATCATCGTATTTGTCTCAGCTCTTGACGGACTGAGAATTAATCATGTGTTTTTTGATAATTATATATCCTTACTGCTGACTGTAGAATTGCTTGCGTTGTCTTTCTATAGGGTTTATAATGTGTTTTCCTTGTCTGTACTCCTTCCATTATCGCTGTAGTTACATGTTCCTTTCTGACTGTCTTCTGGGAGCTGCAGTTGATATAAATTGGCCGACGTTTCAGAGGAGTATACTGCCCCCTCTCTCTCTTTCTCAGACACATATCTTATATGTACACTAAATCATGCAATCTAGTGTTCTCCGCTTCTCTGACTTTTGTCTTGTTGCAGACGTGTTTATAGCCGTCTTTGTCCCATTCCTTGACATCGATGTATCAAATGCAGTTTATTTTAAGAAAACCGCGAACCATGAACGATAACATTACTAATGTATATAATAATACACTGATTGTGTTCTTTATTAAAAAGGTTTAAGGACATGTTGAAGTGGCCTTGTGCACGTGTCTTATACTTTTACTCCAGCAATTACATGCCTGTCTTTTCCTGCGTGTTGTTCAGTTTTGCCTCAAGACTTGTGGAGACGGTGACAAATGATAGGATGCTTAAGAAAGGAGACTCAGGTTGCTTTATTTTATGACAATATTGTTGAATAAATATTGTTTACCACACGCCTTGCATATTTTAAATACATTTTCTCTTAAAAATTGCGATGAGAGTAAATAAACCCAACAAAACTCACAGCATCTCATTTAAACTGCGAAAGTATCCAGTTCGAATACCGGAAAACTCCAGCTATCCTGATTTAGATACTTCTATTTTTTGAGGATTCATTCCGAATTTGTAGATTTACGAACGTACAAAGTGGAAACACGTCGTCCCATTAAGTCTGAAAGTTTGTGACGATATATTATTGTAGTAACAAAAGTTTCATGGACATTATCCATCGTCATAACCTTCAGGTTCCATAAAGACCACAGATTTTCTTGGACACCCGGGATTGTCAGCTTGTCGAGAGGGTCTCTGTTCCATGCAGAATTCTACTTTAATGAAGTACATTATTTCGATATGTTATTCAATTTTGAGGTGTGCACCGGGTACTGGTTGGGAAACCTGAAGGGAAGAGACCGCTGGGAAGACCTAGACGTAGATGGGAGGATAATCTCAGGCGGGATCTATGGGAGATAGGAGTTGAAGGAGACTGGATTTTGTTGGCCCAGGACAGGGCTTTGGTTAATTTGGTGATGAACCTTCGGGTTCGGTAAGCCATCTGGTTGGTTGGGTCCACTATTTGGGAAGCCTGAGGAGAAGAGACCTCTGGGGAGACCTAGACGTAGATGGGAGGATAATCTCAGGCGGGATCTATGGGAGATAGGAGTTGAATGAGACTGGATTTTGTTGGCCCAGGACAGGGTCCGGTGGAGGGCTTTGGTTAATTTGGTGATGAACCTTCGGGTTCGGTAAGCCATCTGGTTGGTTGGGTCCACTATTTGGGAAGCCTGAGGAGAAGAGACCTCTGGGGAGACCTAGACGTAGATGGGAGGATAATCTCAGGCGGGATCTATGGGAGATAGGAGTTGAATGAGACTGGATTTTGTTGGCCCAGGACAGGGTCCGGTGGAGGGCTTTGGTTAATTTGGTGATGAACCTTCGGGTTCGGTAAGCCATCTAGTTAGTTAGTTAGTTAGTTATTCAATTTTTTTAAAAACAATTTTCTGAATTGAGTTTAACAGGTTGTGTGGTCCCACACGATATAGTTTTCATGAGAAGTATTCTTAAATGTGGCAGTGATTTCGTTTTTCTTGAAATTTGAGGTTCTCACAGCGGAACATATGTCGATATTGTTTTTCAGATTTGTGACACCTCTTCCTCTCTCTTAGTCCGCCTACCCTTTTAAGCTTCTATTCTCTGTCCGCCTTCCACTCATCCTTCGACCCCATAACAACCCTTTCCTCAAAATAAGGGACATACCTCATTTTTAATACCATAATCCTCTAGCTGGTCCTTAAGGAGCTAATTCTTTCTTCTCTCCCTCTGTCCACTCGACCAGACGTGCTTCCTCATTGGCTCAGACCATCTCTTCATCGACAGTGGTTGGTCAGTTCTCCCAATCCGTTCTGACACTATTTGGCTACTCTCACTGGGTATTTTCGTGGTTTTGAGCTGTGTTGCAGATGCTCGAATATAATTTCAAAGGGGCACAACCCGCTTGCCCCAGACTTCGAGGCTTCCCGCCAAAGTGGTTACCCTCCGCTGTGTCTCAGTAATGAGATGTCACGGTAACGTAGATTTCCAGTGACTGATAGAACGCCTTCCCAGTTAATTTCGTTAATTTCCACTTCATTGTAAAACTCTTAAAGAATGGATGTTAGTCTATTTAAAAATTAGTTGGCGAGTTGCTTGAGATTCCTATAATCTGACAGGACGATTTGAGGTTCTCGCGGCACTGAGTACGAAAATGACTGTCTTCTGGGTTTTACGCCGTGTATTCTGGTAGAAGTTTACCAGCGTTTGAGAGCTGGTTGCTGCCTTAATCGTCACCACACTGATGGTGGAGGCATTAAGGACCTTTGATAGGTATCTATCATACTACACGGCGCTACAGTCCAGTAGACAAGTCATCTTCATGCCCTGGCTTTGCTATAATGAAGGGGCCTATCACATATTCAAAAACCCAAATTACCGTCAAATTTTATTGAACGATCCTGATTCTAATTACGCGAGATGTGCTCGTATTGAGCGTGTAAACGCTTAGCAGGATGAGGCTCGTTGGAACTGTGGAGGTGTTTTGAAACTGAGCGCTTGCAAAGAAAAACACGTGTCGAAACGATATGTTAGAAGCGAATAATCTGTTTGTTATGAATAATAAATAGCGGATATATTAAATCTAATGGATAATTGGTTCGAGAATAAAACATAATTGTCGGTCATTGTTCATAACTACCGGATTATTTATTTCCACCGTAACAAATATGCTGTCATTTGGTACACGTTTCGCATTCCGACCTTCAATGAAATAAGATATTTACAATTTTAAAGTAGTTAAGCAAGTTTATAATTACTGTGTATTAGGGACTAATTAATCTTTAACGTCATTTGTAAATTTATTGAATAAGAATATATCTAATTCAAGTCCACAAC